AGAGGCACCATCACCATCTCTCCTCCCTCGGCCCGTCCTCCATTCCTGCCTCGACCCTCTCTCCTCCCTCCCTCACCCCTGCTCTATCGGCCCTCCCTCCTTCCTCCCTTTCTCCTTCCTGCTCCCCTCACTCACTTTCTCCCTCCCTCCGGTGGCATTACCTTCCTCGGCCCTCCGTCCTCCCTCTCTTCTTGCTCCCTTATATGGGGACGATATGGAGGGTGCATTCCGTTTTTCTTATCTTTCTCAATTTGCGTTAACGCTTAGCGCCACATTGTTTTTTTCCAATGTGAATAAGGGCGAGTGTGTGCTCTCGCGCTTGCAGTCGCACACAGACGCACACAGGGAGGCGTGTGTGGGGAGCGAGCGAGTGAGCGAGAGAGAGAGAGAGAGAGAGAGAGAGAGAGAGAGAGAGAGAGAGAGAGAGAGAGAGAGAGAGAGAGAGCTGACTCAGTGTGCTGGGACTGGGGAGGAAGAGAGTGAAATATGGAAAGAAATATCGATAGCCTGAGATACCTGGGACAGGGCAGTTAATCATAAGGCCGTTCCAAAGAGAAAAGACCGAGGGAGAATGTTGAGGAGGCAGAAGACGTACGTTTTGTGGTGGAGGAGACAGACAAAGTGCGAGGAAGGAAGAGAGAGAGGAGGAAGTGTTAGGTGAAATGCGTTTTTTCTCTCCTGCTTTCCCTCTCTCCTTCTTGCACGTGTGCAACCATGTTAAGATCTTAAAAGAAATGGAGCGACCTTGATAACAAACGGAGCGTTTACGTCCACCGGATAAAGAAAAAGCAGCACTTCTTAGGTCGGGCCTTACGAAGGAAAGGTGGCCGGTCGAGGGAGGAAGGGGGAGGGAGGGAGTAAGGGGGAGGAAGGGGGAGGGAGGGAGGAATGGAAGGGGGAGGTGAGTAGTGATCTGGCTGAGGAATGAAGGGGAGGAAAGATCGGGGGAAGGAGGAGGTCAGACAGAGATAAGGCGAACGAAGGAGAATGAGGGGGGGTGAAGAGAAGGTGGGCAGGAGGCCAGTAGGCAGGGGAGAGGCGGCAGAGAGTAGGGCGGAAGCAGGAGGTCAGGTGGAGATCGGGCCAAGGAAGGAAGGGGAGGAAGGAGATCGGGGGAAGAAGGTCAGTGCAAATCGGGCGGAGAGGTCGGAGGAGATAGAGGGAAGGAGGTCAGGCGAAGATTGGGCAAAGGAAGGGGAGTGAGGTGGCCAGGCGAAGGGAGGGCAGAGGGAGGTTTTAAGAGAAGGTCCAGAGGAGGCTGGGAGAAAAGGGAGGCGGCAGAGAGAAGTAGGGCGGAGGGAGGRCAGAAAGCAGAAGGTAGTTTAGAGGTTGAGGGACGTATGAAGGAAGGGAGACGAGCATGGGAAAAAGCGTGAAGAGGAAGAGGAGGAGGTGGAAGGAGGCCGGGAGGAAGCGGAAAGACGGCGGGGTGAAGTCGGGCGGGGGAGGGCAGATGGAAGGAGGGAGGGCAGAGGTTGGTGGGGTACGGAGCAAGGGAAGAGTTTAGGTGAAGGTGGAGAGAGAGAGAGAGAGAGAGAGAGAGAGAGAGAGAGAGAGAGAGAGAGAGAGAGAGAGAGAGAGAGAG